ACCCACACAGGGGGCTCCTTTGTCCTCCTCTCTCCCTCGTTACTCTGGGAGGGAGGCCTGTCCACACAGCACCCCTAGCTACTTGCTTCGCTTTCCCCTGGGGCTTCCCTGGTCCCCTCACCCAGGGGACATCTTATGGCCATAAACCTTCCTGAGTCCAGCGGCCCCCTTGAACGAGACAGGCGAGGACATCGAGGGGGAAGGTACAGGTGGGCACGCCTGGCACTGAGCCTCCCTTTTTGATTGTGTGGTGAGTTACTTAGCCAACAATAGATGTTTATGTGTGTTTTTTTAGAGCTTGTATTTATTAACAGCCTGCAAAGGGGAGACCGCGATATTTGTTCTGAAAGCACAGTGAGTTGAAAGGGACAATTAGGGGAGCAGAAAGAGATATGGAGCATGGAGCTGTAAAAGATATTTTAATGCACAATCAAAGGGTTCTTGAGATAATTTCCAAGTAGACAGAAGGTATAAGAAAATTGGCCCATTACAAGCTGATAGTGGGGGATCGGTGACACAGGGTGGAACAACGGCTGATGTGTGAAACTCCCACTGAAGGAACGTGAGTCCGGAGAGCCAGACTCGGAGGAGACGAGCCAGAATGTCACCACGGCCGGGTCAGCGGGCTCAGCAGCATGGCTTGACCCGGATCCAGTCGAAATGTACACGCACTTCAGTCAATCAAACAATGTGCGAAGGGAAAGGCTGGCATCCTCCAGGTCGAGCTGGAGAAGGGCCCTGAGGAGTTGGGTCCTGGAGGTGAGTTCTGGCCAGGGACATGTGGAGACAACCTGGGCAGCTGGTGAGCCTCGGAGAGATTTGCTGTCGGGCCCAGGGAGCCCTCCCCGCAAACATGCTCTCTCTGACCCCTGGGCCCTGCCTCTTGTCCTCCAAGAAGCTTTCCTGCCCCCTACTCCCTGGCTCTCTCAAACTTGCCAATAGACCTTCTAGAATCACGTTCATCACAGTGGCAGAGTGCTGGGTGATTAGTTAGGTGACAAGTAAACATTAGCTAAATGGGATTCTTGGCTCCCTGGTAATGAACAGCCCCTAGCAGGAGAAAATAAGGGGGAGATGCTGTCTGGAGGGTTCTGGGGGTTGCCAGTGGTCAGCCAAAGGGGGCACAGGTAGAGGTGGCCATGCCTGGAGGCAAGTGAGGGGCTGAGGGCTGAGCCCTGCATGGAGGGGAAAGGAGGAAGCACGGGGGGGGCAAAATGGCTATGGGATACTTTCCGGGCTTGGAAGCAGCAGGTGTCTGGGAATGGGACTGTGGCCCAGGCAGATTTCCAGGGAGCGCTCCAGCATGCTGGCACGAGGGAAGGATCTGGCTGAGCAGAAGAGGCAAGTTAGGATGATGAAACCCACTGTTGAGGAACATTGGCAAGCACGCCACGAGTGGGGACACGTGCTCGGAAAGACGCTGGGGGTGTGGGGTAGGGAAGAAGACCGCAGAGGGGAGCCATACCACCACTGCAGAGTCAAGGCCAAGTCCCTGAGTAGGATTCCCCCAACCTTCCCCTTGCCAGGCTCGCCTTCCATGCCCACCACCCCTCACAGGGTTCCCAGTCCTCAACTCATAGCTCTCTGCTGGTATCCCAAACCGGCACGATGCTGCTGTAACCCTCCAGCCTTCTGCCGTGAATACTCCCCGCACTCTTCTTTGGCCACCTCCTCATCCTGTTAGAGCCATCAGGTGTCACCCTCACCTGGAAGTCCTCCTGGACCGTCCTCACCTCAGTTGACTTACTCACGGTAGGGGGAGGGCCACTACCAGAGGCACCAATCACATACCTGTTCCCACATCTAGCCCTGCACTCCTTATAGGAGAGTCATATCTTCCCACCTTTATGTTCCCAGAGCCTGCGCCAACGGCGGGCACATGTAGGCCTTTAATCAGCACTTGTTGAAGGGAAAGAGCCAAGTGAAGATGGCAGAGGGGTGACCCTGTTAGGAACAGAGGAGGAGGACAGGATTCCCAGAGGCAGGAAGTCACATCTCCAGGCCCTGGCCCGCCCAGGAGGAATGCCGCATCTGGTGACCAGAGAGGTCTAGCCCATGGCTTGTCAACTTGCTCTGGTGCTTTGGGCAATGGTGCCTTCGTTCCTGCGTGGCCTGTGAGCTGCTGAGTGACAAGTGATGTCATTCGCGATAGAGATGCTTTCATTCCTGCTATCTCTTAGAGGAGAAAGCTGCTAAAAATACACCCGGCGTCCTGGGCCCCTCTGCCTCGCCTCTAATAACAGTCGGCAGCCAGAGACCGAGCTGCACTTGACAGAGGCGGTCATTTATAAAACATTAGCATTTCTCGTACTGACATTTCACTTTCATATTGCAGGACTTACTAAGTCTGTTTACAAAAATTTAATAAAGTGTTTGGACTCTTGATTTTCCCACTGAGGGCTTTGCTGTCTGACGCTGGAAATGAAATCAACAACAGGACAACATCCTCGGGTTCTGAGGGACAGCCGGGGCCCGGCACTGGCCTGGGAAGAGCAGGCGGGCAGCGGGAGAGCGTGTGTTTTGCTCTGCCGTCCCCGCGCTCCTGTTAGTGCAGGTTTCAAGCCTTGTACCGAGGAAAATTGTTCAGTCACACCTGAAAACCCAGCTCTCCCCTCTCTACCGAGGAGAGAACTGCCTCATTTCTCTAAAGCGAGAGAGGCAGGTGGAGCCCCCAGACCCTCTCTGCTGCTGTCTCAGTGGATCCCTGGCCTCCTGGGAAGCCCTCTGGGCCCCAGGAACTGGCAGCTCCCTTCCGGCCACTCCTGAGGCCCCGAAGAATCCACAGCTCAGCTGCCGCGGGTGCGGCTCTTGGGAACCAGCCAGGAAGGATCCAGGACCAGCCTGGTCCAGAAAGAGCCGCAGAGACTGGGCCGATCCACAGCTAGGGTGTGGGAAGTGAATCATGTTCCGTGAGGGTGAGGGAAGAACCCTAGAACGGAGAACGTGTGTGTGTGTGTGCGTGTGTTCGCACGCGTGTGCACACATGCATCCCAGTGAGTCAGCGTGCCCCTGCCCCATATGGCTCCTCCCGCCAGCAAACATGCTGTGCCTGGCCAGGCTCGCCCACCCCACAAAAGCCTGCGATCTGCCACCACTTCGGGAATGTAGGGTTAGGAAATGAGAAACAGGGTTCTTGTCCAAGAGAAATTTTTTTTATTATTGTTTTTCTCTCTTCATTGGATTCGGTGTTTCTTGCTCCTCACACACATCCTCTCTGGTGGGGAATTCAGGTTTGGGCAGAGCTCAGAGGAGATGGCGCCCAGCAGGGCCCTGGCCAGCAGCATGGCCAACCTTGACTGGAGCCACTGTCCCCTGACTGGGCTTGCCTGTTCCATGCCCTGCACACATCCCCACTCCTGACCCCTGAGTCTGGCCCCCTCCGCCACCGCCGCCGGTCCCTGGGCATCTTCAGAAGGGCCAGGAGGGAGGGGGCCTCCGTAACGCAGAAATGCCTGAGATGGTTCTTGAAATGCCCTCTTTGTTCCCCTTCTGCTAAGGCCACCTGATGCTTTCCCTCCTGCCGCCGAGCACAGGACCCTTGCTGGGCTGGCCATCAAAGAGCCTCAAGGAAAAATTCAGCAGCTGAGCCGTGCTGGAGTCCTGGGCTCATGCCCGGAGTACCCCCAGCCTGTCCAGACCGTCACCGGCAGAAACGCTAGGCCGACGATGACCCTGCGCGGCCTCTTGGGCTAACACTGCGGTTGCTGCCTGCCCGTCGGCAAAAAAAAGACCCAGAGCCCCTCCTGGTTCCCTTCTCCATCAAGCCCTCCCCTAGGGCCTGGCTCCCTGATGTCTCATGAGCTGCTTCTCACTTCTCGCCCCTGACAATGACCCCTGGCACAGTGGGGGTGATGGGGTGCTCTGGGGTGGCAGCCGGACTTGTGTTGCATATAAAAACAAGGCAATACTCTAAACATCGAAGAAGATTGGTCCCCTGAAGTGATTCTTGCTGCCTCCCCTTCTTCTCCCTGGCCCTTCCCACTGACACTTTGCCCTAGGCCCTGGCAAGCCCAGGTTATGACGGGGACTGTCATTGACAGATTGGGATTCTAGACAAAAACCCTACAACTCTTCTCTTGCTAGAGATCACCGATACAACCCTTAGTTCAACAGCATAGTTTTCTGTATAGTTTATAAACATGAGAAGACATACAGTTTGGTAGGGGGGTGGGGAGGGGCCCTGTGCATGTGTGTGGACCGTGTGTGTGTGTATATATATATATATATATATATATACATGTATATATATATATAAGTTGACTTAGTTATAAGTCAAGTTATAAGTCAAGTTTAGTTATAAGTCAAGTTATAACTGCACCTCCTGTGAGAGCCTCACTGCATTCGATGCAGTTCTGAATTTCAGCCTCTGATGATCTTTCCTTTGGTAATTGGTTCTTGGAGCCCAGCAGCTGGGCCTGGGTCTGCCAGGGTTGCCTGAGACATCAGGAATGAGAGGCGTTCCCCCCTGGGGGAGAGACTAAGGGCTGGAGTGAGGGCAGGTTGACTCTGTGGCCTCAGGCAAGGGCCAAAATGTCACCTGCTCCTGTGCTCCCAGATGGCTGGGCCACCCAGCCGCTTGGGTGAGCCTCGTCTGTTCTCCTCTGAGTCCTGCTTCCTCCAGGAATGGCGGGGCCCTTCAGACCTCTCCAGTCACTGGGATTCCACAGAGCCCAGCTCCTGGGGGGGTGGGGGGCACTGTCCCATTGTTGCTAATGAAGGATTCATTTTGCGTGCTTTAACTGCCTTGCCGGATGGATGCTGTCTGCGGGCTCTCGCCAGGGCCTGGCCGGGACAGCTGGGTGTGATGCTCAAATCCCTTCCCACTTTGGGGCTGTACACTTTGGGTTTTATAATCCACGGGGGCAGGGCCCAGACAGCAGCTGAAGCCTTTACCAGCCTTTGCCCGAAACCCAGCAGACCCTCCACTTGTTCAAAAAAAGAAAAGAGATTCTGTTCCTTGGTGGACATGTGGCAGTGCTGGGTGCTGGTGGCCCAGGTCTTCAGCGAAGAGTGACCACCAGCCCCAGTATCCAGGCCAGGAGGGAGGCTCCCAGGGAACTGCCCGAAGAGGCCTGCTGCACCCCGCTGGGGGCACGGATGGGGGTCCTGCGGGCACACTTGCCCTTCCTCTTGGGCCGGGTGGTGGGCATGATGTCAAAGCTGAACTTGTGCTGGTAGTCAGGGGCGTAGTCCTGCAGCTCGTGGGCCTGCTTCCCGGCGCCTGCCTTGGACACCTGGTTGCGATTCCTGTGGCTGGTGCAGTTCTTGCCGGGCTTCCTGTAGCCTGGGCGGGAGCCGGGCAGGTGGCCATGAGGGTGGCCCTTGTCCCTGGCGGGGCCGCGGGGCGGGTAGTGCTCCTTGCGAGCGGCCCTGTCGGTGGTGGTGAGTGTGTGCGACTTGATCTGGTGCGGCGAGGCTGGCCCCGTGCAGTTCCGGAAGTCCTCGGCCCTCAGCAGCTTCAGGTCCTGGCCTTGGCGCGCCTCGGGGGAGGCGCAGGGGACCGCAGAGCTGGAGCCGCGGAACCTTCGCAGCCATTCCCACAGCGAGTGCGCCCGGCAGCCGCAGTCCCAGGCATTCCCGTTGAGGCGGAGGAACTCCAGGGCTCCTAAGGGCGCCAGGCAGTCGCCCTGCAGCTCCGACAGGCTGTTGTTGAAGAGAAAGAGGGTGGTCAGCCGGCGGAGGTCGTGGAAAGCCTTGTGGTGGACCCACTGCAGCTGGTTCTCGTGCAGCAGCAGCCGGTCCAAGTTCACCAGTCCCCGGAACGTGTCCTGGCCCAGGCTCCACAGCTTGTTGCCATGGAGGAACAGGTGGCTGAGGTTGACCAGGTCCACGAAGATGTCGTCCTGGAGGTACTCGATGTGATTGTCCTGCAGGTAGAGGTACTGCAGGCTGTGCAGCCCGCCGAAGATGCCTGCGGGCAGGGCGCTGAGCCCGCACTTGTAGAGGTAGAGGGCGTGCAGCTTCACCAGGCCCTGGAAGGTCTCCGGCGCCAGCGTCCGCAGCTGCCGGTTGTCGCCAAGGTCCAGCTCCTCCAGGTGCACGAAGCCCTCGAAGGTGTTGGGGTCAATGAAGGTGATGTTGTTGGAGTAGATCCACAGGGTGACCATAGCCGGGCTGAAATGGCCCTGCTGGAGGACGGTGATGCGGTTGTTCTGCAGGAAGATGCGTTCGCTGTCCTCTGGGATGCCCTCGGGGATGGCGGCGAAGTTGTGCGCCTGGCAGCTGACCGTCATGGGTGCCGGGTAGCACACGCAGTCCCGCGGGCAGCCGCCGCCCAGGGGCAGCTCCCCGGCCAGCAGCAGCAGCAATAGTTCCACACAGCACCCTGGGGGGGGGGGGGGGATGGAGAGGGGAGAGAGAGCACAGCCAGGTCAGGGGTGGCTCGGGGAGGCGGGGGACGGACAGGCGAACCATCCCCCCACCCCTTGGCAGGGCTCTGTCCTGGGCTGTGCCCAGCTCGGGGATCTGGGGTGGCAGCCCTCTGTGGGAGGTTCCTGCTGGGAGGAAGGCGGGGGTCAGGCCCAAGCGGGGCCCTCACGCGGCGACAGATGACACTCTGGAGCTCCACCCCCGCGGAGGGGGCCAACGACAGGCCCCGCTGTGAGGAGAGCTCGGGGACGCGCGCCCGGAACGCGCGTCGTGCCCTAAAGTCCCGCCCCAAGCCCTAGCCCCGCCCCCAGACTCCCACGGGCAGTCCTGGGGTGGGCGTTCCTCTCCCAGCTCTGCCACTTACTCCTATCACAGGTACTGATTCAGACTCCTGGTCTGAATCATGACCAGGTACTGATGCACATGAACAGGTACTGATTCAGACTCCTGGTCTAACAAAGTAAATATATGGAGGCCTGAAGAGTCCTTTAATGTATTCTTTTTTTTTTTTTTTTTTTTAATTTATTTGACAGAGAAAGTGAGAGAGGGAACACAAGCACGGGAGTGGAAGAGGGAGAAGCAGGGAGCCCGATGCAGGGGCTCGATCTCAGGACTCCGGGATCATGACCTGAGCCGAAGGCACACGCCCAACGACTGAACAAGGCAGACGCCCAACGACTGAGCCACCCAGGCGCCTCAAGTCTTTTAGCGTCTTCTTAATAACAAAGCATGCATGCAAGACACCAAAGTTCATCTCAAAAGCTGTCTCATTTAGGGTGCCTTCTGTGTCCTCAAATACGTGAAAGCGCTCTGTGACTCAGTTTCCTCATTTCTTTTTTTTTTTTTTTAGATTTTATTTTATTTATTTGACAGAGAGATCACAAGCAGGCAGAGAGACAGGCAGAGAGAGAGGAGGAAGCAGGCTCCCCGAGAGAGCAGAGAGCCCGATGCGGGGCCCGATGCGGGGCTCGATCCCAGGACTCTGAGATCATGACCTGAGCCGAAGGCAGCGGCTTAACCCACTGAGCCACCCAGGCGCCCCAGTTTCCTCATTTCTAAATAGTACTAGTGTTCCTTGCGGCACTGTGAGGATGTGCTAAGGGGACGTGTGTGAAGGGCTGCCTGGTTTTGGGGCCTCCCTTATCTGGTCCATCTTCTGGCCCCTCCCCTCTCCGCGCCTCACTCCCAGGCGTGTGCTCCCGGCTGGTGGTTGCAAACAAGGCTTTGCCTCTCGACCGTCCGGAGCATTTCCTCTGTAGCTTCCCTCTAATTGGCATTAATTAGGCATTCGTTAATGGATCCTTAAAATAATTTATTTTCGGATGTGTCCAGCCTGTGGTCGGATAATAGCCCCGTGCTCATTATCCGAGAGGCCTCATTATGGACGATCATCATTACCTGCCTTTTTCCAGGGTCGCAGCTGCCCCAGGCTGCCCGGCAGGCACGCCAGCCTGCGAGGACAGGCTCCAGCCGTAACCCCCACCCTGCAGGGCCAGGCAGCCATCTCGTCCCTGCCCAGTTTTGGCCTCTTGCCCGTCCCTTCCAGCTTGGCCAGCCGGGCCTCTGGGGAGAAGGCCAGGCCCTGGGGCAGCTCAGCTGATTCCTGCTGTCAGCTCTGCCCAAAGCATGTAGAAAGAACTCACACTTCTGGCCACTCTCCGACCGGCCTGCTCCCAGCCTCACCTGGGCCACTAGGCCAGGCTCCCAGGCCTGCTGCTGGCTTAGCCTCCTGGCCAGTCTCAGGCAGGCCCAGCCGCCACTGCCACCCCCTCATTCCCGGCAGAAACAGCATCGTAAATAAGTGACAGTTCCCAGCTGTTGGGAGTTATGGGCTCCCAGAGAGTGGCAGCTGCTTCCCGTCCCCCCGTAATCACCCGGCTTCCACCGAACGTTTTCAACATAAAAATCATCGCATATAATTTCGTTTTTGCATAATTGGGTTCGGTTGTGATTTCAGAGCAATTATGACCTCGGTGGCGGCGGTGGTGGTGGCAGTGCAGCTGTAAGGACCCTTTCTGGGCCGGGCCACGCTCTAGGTGGTTCCTGCGGTGTCTTCAGTCATCACCACCACTAGATGGCCTGCAGGCCTCAGCCTCAGTTTCCCTCTCTGTAACATGAGTAGGAGGTGATAGCTTTTCCAGTGTGCCCCACATGGAGACTCAGGTCTGACTTTGAGGCCCCCATTGCCCACCACAGTCTGGCAGAGGGTCCCAGCTGTGCAGGGGGAAGCAAGAGTGTGAGGGACTAGGAGCGTGGACACCAAGCCCCAACTGAGTCTTGGGGAGCCTGCGAGATGCTTTGAGTCTCCAAAAGCCAGGGGTGGGAGGAGGGCCCACCCTATACTGGCTGCAGCTTCCACAGAATCTGACACCCCTTTTCCCCTCTCTCGGCAGGCACCCCTCACCCCTGTCCAGGCTGCTGTCTCCCAGGAACCTCACCCCAGGGAAGCGGTCCCCACCTTGCCATTCTGGGGGGCCCTGGGGGTCCCCTCCCAGCTCAAGGGCCTTCACAGGGCTCATTGTGCTAAAGGGGGCCAGGCCATGGCCATGAACTGGTGCTTGTGGGACACACAGTGCCACACCAGACCCTGGGGGCAGGGGTAAGCTATGGCAGGCTTAGTACTAATACCACTCAACATTTGTGCAGCTTATGAAGTTTACAAAGTGCTCCTGCTTGCGCTCCTCTGATCCCCAGCATTACTACGTGGTGGGGGGTTTCCCTGGCCCCCACTGACCCGGATGGGGGCTGACAACCCTTCCACCTGATGTTGTGGCTGTGTCCCCATAAGGCCCCGGGGCTGGGCTTCTCTGAAGTGTCCCCTGTGAAGCTGGGGGACCCAAGCAGAGCCAAAACCCTTCCTTAGAAGGTGTCTAGAAGATTCCTAGGTGCCCCCAGGGAATGTCGGGGCACAGGAAAACCAAGCAGAGACCCCAGTTTGGATGAAAAAAACCAAGTGCCCCTAAATCTAGGCATGGGCTGAGCAGCCAGCAAGTGAACACACCTTGGCAGGTGTGTGGGGTCAAGGCAGGACCCAGGGCAGGAGCCCTCCATGTCCTTCCTATGAGAGGGGCCCAGGAGGAGGCAGGGCCCCCAGCCAACTGCTTGGAGCCGCTCTCCATCCTTCTGTGCCGCCCACGTGCCTGGGAGCCAGCCCAAGGAACCTGCCCTTGCCCTACCCCTGCCTCCTTCCACTGGGCACTGGGGTGGGTCCCTGTTGAATTTGCTTTTCCACCCTGGAAGCTGGTCCCATCTCCAAGGCCCTGGCCAGCCCTCCCAGCCAAACTCACCCACCTCTAGCCCCTGTGCTCAAGCCAATGGGTGCTTCAGTCCTGGACCGTCACCCAGCCAGGCAGCTCCTCCTGTGCCCCCTCCGTGTGCCAGTGGGAGCCCCAACCCCGCTGATTGCCTGATTAAGGTACTAACAATGAGGCGGGTGTCTTTGCTGAGTACTTTAAGATCACAAATTAGCAGCCTGTGAAGGGGAGGTGCACCCCCTCCCAACTACCTCCTCAGCCCTCTCCTGGTGGAGCAGGGGGTGCTGCTCTGCCTCAAGGGGCTGAAGAAAGCCAGGCTGGGCCTCATCCCTCCTTCTTCAGGCTCTCCTCCTTCTCTCCTCCAGGGACACGTGCCCCACTGACTGCTCGGCTGCTCCCAAACCTCCTGGCCTCCCACACATCTGAGCTCACCTGAGGCTCCGCAGGCTCATTCATTCTTTCCTCCTTTCAGTACTTGCCCTCTTGCAGTGTCCAATGTGCTAGGGCAGGGAGGAGCCCAGGGAGGAGCCCCGGGATGAACTGGGCAAGCCCTTGTGTGTTCATTAGCAGATAGAGGGGTCCCCAATCCCAGGCAGTCTGGTCAGGTGCTGGGGCCCAGAGTAGGTACCTAAGGGTGTATATATAAGGGGAAGCTCAGGGAAGGTCTCTGCCACCCCTATGCCACCTCCTCCATGAAGCCTTCTGCTCCCCTGGTAGCATAGAGAATACCCCCAGTAGAGATTGTATTGTTTACACGTCCTCCTTCCTACAAAACACAAAACCCTTCACCTGCTGGGAGGGACCTGGCAGGGGGAGGGGATGAGTGGCTGGAACATGGGCAGCACCTCATCCAGGCTACTCAGCAACCCCAGATGTGCTTATGAAGGGTCCTGTGGAGCTGGACCTGGCAGGATGGGGGGGGGGGGAGGGCATAACAGGCAGAAGGCACAGCATATGCAAAGGCACTCAGGTGGGGAAACAGGCAGTGTGCCCCTCCCTTACCCCAGCCCCCTTTTCTCTCTGCCTCTATGAGTAGCCAGAGCTTCCAAGAAGCTGTAACACCAGCTCTGTGAGGCTGGGGACACCCAGGCCTGGGGAGGCCAGAGAGGTCACCATTGGAACCAGCACTGACAGGACCTCTGGTCCAGTCCCAGGCCAGATGACCAGAGTGGCAGGGGTCCTGCAGCTTGCCCACCCTGGAAGCAGGAGGGAGCTAACCAAGGAGGACCCAGTCCTAAGCACGGATCAGGTTCTTTACATGGACTCCTCACACCACCACACCTATCGCAGAAGAAATGAGGCACATGGGGGTTGGAGGTGGGGGCGGAGAGGCTGGCCGAGGCCACAAAGCTGGTGAAGAGGGTGGTGGAACAGGCCTCACCCCCTGCCTTCAAATCCAGAAGCTCCAAGTTGCCTGGGGCAGGCCCTCCCTGGCCCCAAGGTCTCAGATCCCCCACCCCCACCACCTCTCCCTACACCAGCGCAGGGACAGCCCCATGGACCGGAATCCCCGAAGGCCCCCAGGCAGGTCCGCAGGGCTCCTGGAGCCTCAGAGACTCATAAGTCCTGTGGCCAATCCCTCTGGCTCTACAGCCCCCGCCCTCCCCACAGGGCCCCTCTCCCCAACCCTCCTGCCCCAGCCTTGCCAGCTGCTTTGCCCTGAGCCAATCGATGCTAACCAAATGGCTCTGCTGGTCAGATA